GTGTGTACTACCATACTGAGCATGGAGAAATGAAAGGAGACCAAAGAACTGTCTGAGCTCTTGAAAAGCAAAATAGTGAGAGAGCATGGCCAATCTCAAGGCTGCAAGTCCATCTGCGAAGAACTGAATGTTCCTGAGTCGACAGTGTGCAGCATAAACTGTTTGAACAAATTAATTCAATGAACCACACATTTCATGAAGCTTCATGTTAACATGTCACCACCTACTGGTGGAAAGCATAACTACAGTTAGCAATATAATCTGTGATATTTTGCAATTGTTTTTTTTTTTTCAATTTAAGTTCCTTTGAAAATTTTTTTGATTGGTGTGTAAAACAAAATCTTTTGTAGGTTTTTTTTTTTTTTTTTTTGCAAATTGGGCAACGAAGAGCAAAATGAAAGGTGTTGGTCATTTTTATTAAAAAAAATAGTTTTTGGTTTTAATCTGGTTGGGAGGTTATAACCGACCAATCTTTTGGTGAAAACAACCAATCTACTTTGGTAAAAGGGCAGACCATTACAAATTAATCATTTTGGCCAAAGTGCTGGTTAAGTAGTATAGCAGCTTTCAAATCCAAGACCAAGTCTTGAACCATCAACCTTGGATTAAAAAGCTTATAGCACAACACTTTCAACACTAATTTCTCCATAGAAAGCAATTCTACTGAATGCTAATATTACAACTAAAGCCAGTGGCTTGGTCATTTTCTGATCATTACATTGTTTAACCAAAATAACTTTAACCAACTAGATTGGTAATACCAGGCAATCTATTCTTAGAATATATTCAAACTCTATCCAACTAACAGCAACTCTCCTACACACTGCCCCATCTTGACTGAATACTGAGGCTGTTTAAATGCCTGTCGAAGTTCGTGGGCGAGCTGAACCACTTCCGAAGTGGTCACATGGTATGGTGATTGCATGGCTTTAGATGTCATCAATTGTGGCTTCTCCCCTAAATGAGGCAAGACTCTGTACGCGCTTCACGGAAACACCCCCTCCACTACTCGACACACGCCTCGAAGCCTCAGCTCATCTCATAACATCTCTAAAGCCCATGGCGCTGAGACTAACCTCCCTAGATGTGAACAGAAGAGAAACACAAAAGATTTAAACTAAAGATTGGACAGATGATGAATAAATAACCTTGACTAATATCCAAAAAGGTTCAAGTTGTCCTGCAGTCTGACGGTACATCATCAGGACTCATCTTCCCTCCATTAAAGACATTTCATCCCAGCGCTGTGTGTGAGCCCGTAACATCATAAATGACCCCTCACACCCCCAACATGGACTGTTCTCCCTGCTGCGCTCTGGGAAGTGGCTTTGAAGCATCAATGCAGGTCCAGCAGGTTCCAGAACTGCTTCTTCCCCACCGCCATTAGACTGCTGAATGTTGTATAAAATTGGGCTAATAAAAAAAAACACAAAAAAAACCTGAATGTTGGAAACTACAAATCATATCACAGTCTATGTTTACGTTTTATCACTGCTGCACTTTAAAAATGAAAATGTCTTGAGAGCTGTAGTGAACGAAATTTCGTTTAGTATACACTCTTTGTGTACAAAATGACAATAAAGTCTGCCTAAGTTTAAGTCACTGACTACCTGTACTATCAGTCGGCTTCTCAATTAAGACTGAGTCTATGGTAGGATACCTAGGAGTACCACACTTCTGACTCAGAGAACCAAAACATACCAGAGACAGACATAAATGCTTTTTGGAAGTAATGCTTGACCTAGTGCATTGTATTATACAATCCAAAAACTACCAATTACATTTAGCAGCACAATGTAAGGCCCAGTGTGAGAAAGCTGGGTCTTCCTTAGAGGTCATGGGTCCTCCAGCAGGACAATGACCCAAAACACACTTCAAACAGGTGTAGTAAATGGATTGAAAGAAAGCAATGGAGACTTCTGAAGTGGCCAGTAATGAGTCAAGACCTGAATCCCATAAAACAGCTGTGGAGAAATCTCAAACCGGTAGTTTGGAGAAGATACCCTGCAACTGTCAGAGACCTGGAGCAAGAATGGTCTAAAATTCCAGCACAGCATTGTAAGATACTCATTGATGGTTATCGGCGGCAGTTGTTCAGATATATTTTATCTAAAGGTTGTTCTACCAAGTATTAGGCTGAGGGTGCCAATACTTTTGTCCAGGTCATTTTGGAGCTTTGTATGAAATAATTGATGTGACTTTCTTTCATTCTTTTTTGTGTTTTTTTTAACATATTAATACCAAAACATTTGTAATTTAAATTCTTCTGGTCTGATACTGTTAGGAATCCAGTTTATGTGGGTTGTTTGTGTTTTCTCCCTCCACCACCAGGTGGCGCCCGGTTTTCGTTGGCCCTTCCACACACCTGCGGATGGTTGGCTCATTATCTGAGGACTCTTAAGCAGCTGACTGCCACTACCTCGACGCCAGAGTGTTTGCCAGTTTTGGGTACT